TTATTCTCTATTCCCATACAATTTCAGATAAAAATTCATATTAATACATGTTGACAATTCAGGTACGATGTAGTAATGTTGTATTCAGTGTGAAAATTTATTTTTACTAATGATTTAAATTAGACGTGATTATTTAGAATACAGAAAATAGTGTTTGTGGAATTCAATTTGAAAAGTTTGAGAGTGAAAATATATAAAATTGCATGTATAATACGTATGCATGAAATCACGCTTCTTCATTGAGGATTTTCTGTTTTTTTTTTTTTGCATGCTTATTATTAATAACATCATTTCACAACATCATGCATGTGAATCAAAATCATTTTAATTGCTTTAATAGAATCATGTTTTCGTAATGAAAAAAGTACATGCATAGCATACATGTTCTGTGTAACATTGTAGCTACTGGGAATCAACTTATTGGCTTCAATATCATCAAAGCTGAACCAGTCGAGCGGATACCATTATTCGGAAGTTCAGGTGCAAATACAAGCAATCTCAATCTGCAACCTATAGGTTCGTTCTCACAACCACACGTCAGTATGCAAACTTTAAGGTAATTAACAATCAAGATTAAGAGATTAAAATAAATGGAACTAAATAAAAATGTAAAAACAGAAACTTTACATTCAAATAATAAATAGTATTTTTGTACTTAATACTTTTCAGGCCTCAAATGTCACCAGGGCGAACACCATCCCCTATGGATTACAATCCATCTCTGGTGCAGCAACCGTATCAACCAAATAACGTTACACCAATAATGCAACAACCAAATATGTTGGATGTTCAATTTTATAATGAACCACAATTATCAGATCAATCGCAATTGAATCAGCAGGAACTGAACTTGTTATTAAACAAAGTAACATCAGAAAATCAAGATGGATTACAGCCGTTAAATAACATCGGTAACTTCCTATTTATTATTGTATAATCATTGTTTCTTTATGGAGTACAATTCATATTTAATACAACAGTATCAATCAAACATTCAACTAATAAAGAAATAATCAAATATCTTAGACGTTTAATTTTATAATCAATCGTAATTACCAAATCAATCGCAATTAAATCAAAAGGAATTAAATTTGTTACAGAGTAACGCCATATAAGGCGGTTTATCGAACATATGCATAAATTGTAGTAAAGTTGAAGTCTTTTTCTAAACTTTCAATCTTAGTTCTACAAATTTATTGTGCGTTCATGTAATCCGAAGTGCGGGAGGCTTTCTCTTTTTGTATACAAGTTACAGAACTTTTACAACACCTTTAAACAAAACAACGTTTCAACTGTAACCGCCTTAGATTTGATATAACTAAGATCTATATCTTTTTAATCATGCTTCTTCAATCTCTTCTTCTAAAATGAGATTATGTGGTGATGGTGAGAAATCTGAGACCCGCTGATTATGAGTTTTTACAACCATTTTTACAGGAGGACGTCACCACATTTCAAACAATTATTTATATTCTGGGCTATATTCAGAAATTTTATTCACATATGTATCTATGTACTATTTTACTTGTCCATCAAATGTTAAACAAAGATATATATGGGTTCACCCGAGTGAAATTTTGAACACAGCCCTGATGTATCAATTTTTTAGACACTGCAGGAGTCTCATGTCTGCTAGACATGGACAGTCAGCAATACAATCTTAATTGGAATTCCTCTGATTTTGCGGATTTTGGAAACCTTACCGCAAATTTATCGACTGGATTATCCATCTCCGATTCTATACAAGTAAATACCTTACGCGTGTTAATATTTGAACAAAGTATTTATTATTCACACATATATAATATACAATTCTTAAATTAATTTTTGTCTTATTTTAGTCTATGAACAACGTTGAAGAAAGAAACACGAACGAGCGTATTTCATGGATAAATGTGAACCAAGAACTTTCAGTTTTGGATAATAAAATACTTACAACTAATCGAGAAAATGATGGCTGAGGATATAACTTTTTATCAAAAGATATGATTTCGTACTAAAGTACATAAAAGCACTACTACACTACTACTATTACTACGAGAGAGAGAGAGAGAGAGAGCTAGAGGCATTCCAGCATACCTTTCAACCTAATGTTATTTTGGCTTGATGCTAGATTGGTCAAAGAAATTATGATTAAGAAACTCACATTTCAACTACGGTTTTATGCACACTAGTGCTCTTCTTCACTGCCTTCGAAAAAATCGATTGAATTATTTTTCTTATAAGAAATAAGCTGAAGACATCATGTCCAATACAAGGGCATATATAAGACATAAATTTATTTCGATATGCAATCTGTATCTTGTTTAGATTTACATTTAATTTATAGTTTATACATTGTTTAAGAAAATGTATAAATTTTTATGACAAAATGAACAAAAGGAAATGCTCTGCTCTATAGAAACTTAAATATTTGATACACAATTGTTATATACTCATCGGCGAGAATTAGTTGGAACAATATAAAATTTTGATATTCAGTTGCTTGTGATATATAATTTATCTTTATGTAATTATACATAATCGGCACTGTCTGTCCAAGATAAATTGTTTAGTCCGTGATCTGAAAGCGATATTGACGCAAAGTATTCGTTTTGCCGTTATAAATTGAGAGTTATTAAAGCAGTGCTGATGTACGAAATATTGATTGTGTGGTGCGAAGTAAATGCTCTGTCTGTGATCAAAGTTCATAACTTGTTTTTCATACGTATATAAATTATACAATATTCTTTGCGACAAATAGAATTACGCACAATAAGAAGAAATTGTGCCGAAGTGAACAAATTTGCAGGCAATATTGTAAATTATTAGATTAGATATGAATATTTGCATGCGTTTTCTATGTTTATTGTTACAACAGCTTTATCTTTTTTTTTTACACAGTTACATACGTTTCTACAAAATCGCACTTTGTACATTTACACACTTGACATATGATTATATATTAAGAATTAATGTAAAGAAAGGGTGTAGTAAAAAGACGTTGAAAAGTCATCGTACTCAAAAATTTTCGATGAATGTTCCGTCCAGGGTCCAGGTACTTTCATTTTATACACGTTTATAAAAGCTTTATTTAAGAAAAGTATAATAGTAAGAGAAAAAGTGCAATTCTCTAATCTATCGAACAATTTTATTAGATTAAGTAACATAGCAATGACAGTGTTTTGATATAAAATATATTTTTACAATCACATACACCTCAGGTAATTTATTACTGTAACGTGCAGGAAATGTTATAAGGAATTATCTTATATCTAAGAACTATACTTTATTATTTGCCATATATCTGTAATAATGTAAATAAAAAAAGTTGTTATAAATATAAGAAAATGTGATATTTGATAACTTTAACAATTTCATATAAATTTTATGATTTTATTGCTGTTTTACATCATATGTCATGCATAAATGTGTCCTTTCATAAAAGCATTGTCATAAACATTAGAAGAAAATTAAACGCAATGGAAAATGAAAAAACAGTAAAATATATATGTATATATACACACATCGATCCTTAGTTTACTGCGTCGGATCATTTTGTGAGCACTTAATATCCTGTTTAAAGATACAACAAAAGTGCATATTTACAGTTACGACTGCATATTTACATAACATCGATCGATAAGTAGCGCTCTCGTGTACTTAGCATGAAAAAGTCGGCAGTGAACGCTTGGATTATTTCAATATAAAAATGTAGCTTACATACATGTATATATACGGCATACAACTGTCGTATAATATTACTTTACAATTTTTCTCAAACAGCGTCCCTGAATTGCACAAATGTATTCGCAAGGATGTAGCAATACATTATGCAAGTATATGTATAATCCACAAACGGGGAAGAAATAATTTGCTTCACACACATGTGAAGAATAAAAAAGCCATCCGTGTTGTTTTCCAAAATGTATTTACTTAAAAATACAATGAAAGTTTCAGTTTTGATGGAATGGGCAGAAATATATAGTCTGTGGTGTGTCGGTTACTTGTAATACGTTGAAAGAGATGATGCAAATGGTATCCTGTACAAAAGTAGCTTGAACAAGACTTATGAACACACAAACCAAATTCTTAGCCTAGGATTTTCGTTTATATTAAATCGTGTGACACACATGTCATTTACCAGATTTGATGTCTTAAACTTCTTTTCATGCTTACCTAACAAATGTAGGGGTGTAACGGTACGTGGGCGATCAGCCTGATTGATTGTAAGACCCGTTAGCACCAGTAAGTGAATTTTGTGAGTCGCGTCGAGTACTCGAGCGCGAAGAAGAGTACCGTACTCTGCCGAGCTTGACACAGTACAAAACGCAAGTCTCTTTTTTTCAGGATGTGTGTTGCCAACGGGGCTTGGCATTGTATTTAATAAAATTAAATGGACCTATGCTTATAATATGTATAGTATAGTATACTATGAAACGCTAAAGTACTGATTTTGCTCAGGCACCTGTACTTTAAGATAGTCCTTTGCCAATTTGTTATCGTCAAGTTACTATCTTGAAGTAAACACGTGTAAATACAGCAGCGTATAAAATCGTAGATTAACAGAGACTGCCGGAGATGGTATGACCTGCACGCATCACAATGACATTGATCGGCTTTGTTGGACGCGTTACATACATGTTATGAGGAGTATTCGAATTTTTTTTTTCTTTTGTACCATCGAATCGTTCGACGGTAAGAGATTTTTGTAAGTATCAACATTACACGAGTCCAACCTCCATCTCCTTGGTTTCCATACAGAGGGATTTTTAGTCCGTGTGGTTTTCGAGCAGCCTTTACCGCTCATCTCTCCTCATAGTTTTCAGATATTAAACTCATCACTACTTACGAGAACAAATTCATTTTCTCTGATCTAACTGCGTTTTATTTAACTATCTCATTCGAAAATATTTGTACATTAAAACGTGGGACATCTTCTCGCATTCAAATTATCGTTACCTTTATTTAATTATTATGCTGCTATGGTACAATGGTATAACCGCAATGTCTCTTCACCCTTTTATCTAACAGTCTCCCGAAAATAAGTAGCGACACGGACACGCCAATCGCAATGATTCGCCGACTCTTGCACAAAGAGAAATTTTTTCAGTTGTTGAACCAGCAAAACAACATCATTATCGTCAATGTCAACATTGTAGGTTACTAAAAATTTTTAAATACCATCGTCAAATCTGATGGTGTATATCGTCATTTAAGATTTCGAAATGTGGACTATATAGGTAATATATGTGAAAATGAATAAATATCGCTAACTCATTTTACAACAGTCCAAGAATCATTGCCATGAAAATAGTCCACAATAAAGTTGAGATAAAATCATAATAAGATAAAAGTAACACTGAAACGCTCGAGTTACACTCAAATGAGAACATTTAAAAATAGGGAGAGTATTTAATACATAATTCACAATATATAGTTTGAAATTCTTTTCTCTTTTATAATTTCGCGTCATGTACGGCAGTTCTGGAGTTTTATATATGTGCTGTGTGTGTGCTCTGTGTGTGTGTGTGTGTGTGTATGTGTGTGTGTGCATATATATATATATACACACACATATATTTACATATATGTATATATTATACATACATACGCATATATATGTGTATATATATATATGTATGTATATTGTATGTAGATTTATCTATGTATATAATTGAACTCTTATCTTCTACAAAAAATGATATAGTTGATCGAAATGAATAGAGAAGGGTGATGGGGCCCTTACACTTTACAAGTTGACTGTTCGATGCTCTCTCCCTTATGTATGCCCAAGCCTTAAAGTGTAACAACCTCTCCGCATTATATTACGTTTACATAATATTATCGTTAATAATAAAATGTTTCTTATCCCATAACTTTATACATGCTATGTATAATTATTATGCAATATTAAAGTCACATGTTATTCATCCATACTACTTGACGCGAGCGTTGCATTTATCTTAATTCCTGTCTCTATATCAAACAGGAGCACGAAGCGGTGTTACGTCTATTTTTAAGATTTCTCTCATTTTATTATACATTTAATGCCGAGAGATGTCCATTCATGCCTATTTACTTTATTTGCCGTATATGTTACGTATGAATCGCTTAATTCTGCTCGATAAGCCTCGCGCTCCTGTGAAGACACTGCAATTACACATTTCTATTCGAGAAGAAGAACTAAACATATCACACGCACAAGGTGAGAGACATTCGTCGAACTACAAACATAAATTTGATTTTAAATGTAAAAAAATCATCACCTTCAAATATCAATTTTACACTATTTAAATATAAGTTTTTTTTTATATCTTAAATAAGTTTTTTGTTATTAATTGTCCCGACGAAGAAAGCCAGATGACGGCAAATACCAGTTAGTAGGTGGTTCGGATAAAACGGTAGATTCGTCTTGGGAATCATGCACATGAACGATAGAACGATCGATCGCGATGGAAATAAGAATCTAGACAGCAAATAAGATCAAATCCTCATCATCGAATCCTCAGGACGAATATACAATTATCATTCAAACTACCCAATAGCATTTGGTGACGGCTAAACCAGAATTGCGAAAAGCCAAGACAAGTAGAGAATTACATCTAATGCGTCAGCCCACCACAATTCTGGTGAGGTGGTAATTTTTACTTGTAGGTCGGAAGATAGAGAGGATCCAATAACACGGATTGTGGGCACGATGGATATCAACATTGTTACCAACTACTCAATATGAGAAGTTTGCTGAGTTTGCCAAAAATCGACCATGATGTCGTCACGTGCCTAACGCCTCCCTTCTTAATTGCATAATGTTTTCCCTTTTTTCATTATGCGTCGTCTTCATCGTCTTCTACCTCACCTTCTACCTCACCTTCCGCGTCATCATCCTCTTCGTCTGTAATGGTAACAATAAATGTGTTTCAGTAAGTAGAAGCATTTTCATTTAAAAAATCCATTCGAGATACAGTTGGATAAATCGCTTATACATATTTACCTTCTCCTTCTTCTAAATCTTCTTCACCTTCTGGTATGTCGTCATCATCATCATCTTCCTCTCCATCACCATCTACTTCCTCTTCCTCTTCGATTTCTTCTTCAATTTCTTCTTCTTCTACCTCACCATCTCCATTCTCCTCCTTTTTCTGTTTCTTTGTTTCTTCATTCTTCTCCTGTAACACGAAAGAAAAATACTTTTTTAAAACAAATCTTGAGATAAATAGGCAGCTGATGAATAAACGAGCGATTTATTACCCGATTACGAGTGTCCCGATATAGAATTTAAATTTATGTTTGATATCTCGTCTCATTCTGCGTACACAAGTCAAGAAGGCGTACCCCTTTTTCAGCATCAAATGGATAATAGAAAATGCGGCGCCGGCGGTGATAGCGAAAGAAGGACAGAGGAAAGCATACCGGCCGGCGAGGATAAGATCCCTTCCCGCCAAGAAATATGGTGGCGCGAAAAGGGAGTGGGGTATAGTGGGGGACTTTCCCTGCACGCTAAAATACGGTAGGAACAGGAAAAGGGAAATGGCGGAGAGAACTGAGCGATCCGGCAGAGCCGAAAACACGAAGAACAGGTAGTAGAGAGTATCACAACTTTACCGATAAACGTTTAGCTCGCGGAGCTGTCCTGTGACTTCGCCCCCGCGTACTTCAAAGCGGCGCGTGCTGAAGGTGTGTGCGTGTGCGCGCGCGTATTGCGCGTACGAAAAAGAGAGGGAGAGAGGGAGAGAGGGAGAGGCAGAGAGAAAGAGAGAGAGAGAGAGAGAGAGAGAGAGAGAGAGAGAGAGACAGAGAGAGATTAACGTACTTTACATAAAATAGGCAAAAGGGAATGTAAACTCTATAATCGCCTACACACGCGTGCAACGTTAATTTCCCCCTATCCTCCCTCCCCCTGCCGTTCAGTTGTAGAACCATGCCCTTGATCCAGTCCCGATGGCCCGTAACGGCCATAACGCAATAAGTATCATAGTTTATCGATTTTGAGAGAGAAGGGGAGAACGACAGCAGCCGAGAGCCGAGTTTGCTCCGAGGGCAATCTGAAAACATGCCGACGATGAGAACCCCGAAATCGTTTGATGTATTACTTTGGAATGCGATTTATCGCGACAGCGATCGAGATCGTCACGATAAAATACAGCGCGCTGAGTAATATGGCGTCCGCTCCGATATGTCTAAAAATGTTGGGGCGACACTCCGCAACGGTTTCCAACATTCGGCATATTTTAATGTCGCTCCGGTTTTGCACCGTGCACGACTGCG